GATGGAGTTTCAAACTTTGACCGGCCATTTCGTTACCATCTGTCGCATTTCGGCTGTCATCAGAACTGTCCTCTGTAAGCCAGGCAGCTTCTGTTGGATTAATTACCTCATCAGTGCTTTTACTCTGTGTAGGTCTCCCAGGATCCGATAATATTTCGGTCTGGGATAGATTGCTGGTTATACCCAACTTTCTCGCCATTTTCTCGGCGTAATTCTGCGCTTCTGATAGTCTTTTGGTCAATATGCACACCAATTCGGTGGCGTTGGCCATATGCTCGATAAAGTTTGTCTCGATTTCTACCTCTTCCAAACTTTTATCCGCATCTCTTTTATCGAGCTTTTGGGCTTCTGTGTGAGCTCGCAGCAGTTGGTCTATTAAAGACTGTAGCGAATCCTTGCTGATTTGGATGGCGTTTATGGCACCCTTTATGCTGTTACATGTTTCGTGGCACGCTTCATAGTTGTCCTCAAATGAAGCGTTCAGTTGCATTTCCTTCGCATATGGTGTGAATTTATCCACAAATGATTGAAGGGATTCTATGCCGCGAGTAATGGCTTTTTTATGTATAAACATCGACATTGCTCGAGGCGTTGTCGTAGTTCAATTCCACAAAGGATAGAACTGTTGATGCGCTGCTTACCGCAGGGCTAGGTATTGGCTCAGAAATTTGGCCGATGCACCAGAATTGTGCCACTATAGGGCAACTTATAACTGGGAGATAACACAACACGTCGCTATGAACGTTTATTGCGAGACTGAGGAAGCTTACAACCGAAAAGCCCCGTTGACCCCCGAACCCGCCCGCTTTACTGCGGGATGATTTATGTATAGGTCGGTTCGGCCACAATACGTAGCAAATGGCCGAACAGGAGGGGCTTTTTCAGTCCTTGACGTAAGTTGCAATCTGTTTTCCATTCAGTTTCTCTCCCATGTGTGCTCGTTTATCCCATCGTTGTAAAACCTCATCTAGCATCTGTCACATTCTCTATCGATTGATTAACGAGCTCACTTATCCTAATGGTTGACCAAATGTCCCCAGTCAGTTGTTCTCTGCTGTCTGCCCTGAATCAGCCGCAGTTCAAAGTTTTGTCAGTTGTTCACTGCGGTAAACAATAACTGAACTTGTGACCCACTCTTAGTGCTCATTTTTCTTGACGCTGCAGTAGTGCATAGGGTACGTCTGCCATAGGGCCTTTATACTACTTGTAGGCAATAAATGTAAGGTTATGTACCATTTCCCGGAACTTTTTCGTTCTTCTTCTTGATCGGACATTGAATTCATAGAATACCATTCATTATGGTTGCTAGAAATACAGAACAACTCCGGATTCGTGTAATAAATTTTTTTCATTCTAGTTCTAGATAAGCGTTATTAGCTAGTGAACCTCCCGCTACACTCCAGTTTTCATAACTAGACTAATTTCTTAGGTCATTTCTTTTGCTTGAGTAGAAAAATGTATGAAAATTAGCGGAATTTAGAGCAGATAATTTGAAAGGTAAAGAAATCCAAGACCTACTCAAAGCATTGAAAAGACTTTGATTTGCAAGTATAACCATCGCGGGGCAAGAAAAACTGCATCGGATACATGTTGGGATGTTTTACTCATTACTATGAGGTCTCAAAATCGTAGAAAAAAAACAAAGTTTTGGGGCATGCTAATACTACAGAGACAATGAATTAGCTGAATTAAAGAAATGTGCCTTTTTTGGGGCAAGGTGTTATAGCTAATAACTACGAAGTCCTTTGCACATAGGCAAATAGGAAAAAATCCATGTAGATGTACTGCTAAATCGATATCTTGACTGCTACGCTTACTAGTTTATAGGGTATCTTCTTCTGTAGCGCTCGTCAAGAAGTCGCATGTGTTAAGTAGCTCCCAAGATTTTGATAGATCGTCAAGTTCTCAAATGGAAGAGAAAGGGCTGCTTGGGTACTTAATCTCCTCATTTCGTAGGGTGAATCGTCGCCTTGAACTCGAGCATCTTATAGGATCAAATAAACATTTCATCGCTTTGCTCTGTCTTCCTCGCGGAAAGATTCGAGTAACGGTGGTAACTCATTGTAACATACAGTAGTGTGGGTTTGCGCCAATGAGAATCTGTTCACTCGCGCTTTCCCAATTACTTGAACGTGAATATAACTGGGAAAAAGCTCCAGGTAATGTATGGGCCCCATTTTGAAGCTCATCCTGGAATTTGTGATTTGCACAAATCGGCAAAGAACGCTGCTCAAGTAACTGTATAGTTCAAAAATTTAGATTTGTGCACCCTAACCCGATACGTCAAAAACAAATGGCAGCTGTTCATAGCCAGTTCGTACGAATTCCAAAACATGACTGCCATGGCATAACTCTGGATCGCGGTGTAGCTAATGTAATTGAAAGCTAATTCTCTGTTTGAATGAGCATAGCAGATATTTATTTTTTCACATCTGATATTCTATCTTTTGTATTTTGTGCGAGGTTTTGCTTGAATCTAAATGCCTGTAAACACACTTTAGTTGAGTTACACCTAATTTCACTTCGAACTGGTGCAGCTACAACTTCTCTTATTGAAATTTCATAAATTTTCATTGTCAATTTTACAAAACGTACTGCATGCTGAGTTTCCGTAATTTGCGCTCTGTTGTTGTAAAGTTGAACATCATTTCGTAATACTCAGAAAACAGCTGAAAAATTTTAAATTCGCATCGTATAGTGCAAGCCTTCAAGAATTTGAACTATAGTGCGTTTGCACTGGGTGGTTTTGATTTTGACGGCAGGTGTACACGCTTGTTGTTGTGTGATTGACATATGTCTTGTTATTTATGAAAGGAATGGAGCTAACTTTTTATCTGAAAAATGAGGTGCGCTCTTTTTTAACTGTTTGCTCGATGTTTGATTTCGAGATCTGCGTTTGTGGCAAAATTATTAGACCTTAGATTGTAGGAGATCGTTGCAGTTATTCTAAATATTCGATGTTCGTTAGAAAGTATTTGATGTATACAGTGGAAACAAAGGACTGGTTGTCCTTATTATCTCTGGAAGAGGAAGCCATCATCGGAAAAACCAGCTGAGAGTGCATGTTGGCCATCTTCCTCATAGTAGCTGGCTGAATTTTTATTGTTCTTCAGAAGTTATCTCCTCATTTTTTGCGATCTGGAGGGTTTGCAATGATGTATAGCACATTTGTCGTAGCCGCTTGATACCAAAATGTGATTTTATCTTCGTGTATATTCCGTAGTAATTTTACTTTATCTGTAGTCGGCTCTGATTTCAATAATTAATGATATTGTGGAAAGCAGTACCAACGATTTGCGAAATTGTTCCTATTAGTTTCTATGTTTTGCTTTTTTCTCCCGTAGTTTCTATTCCTGTCATCAGTGTGTCCATGCTTATGTTGTCACAAAGCTTCCATGTCCTAGATTCTGGCAGCTGCGCAACCGCTTTCTGCAAAACACTGCAGGATTAGCTTGCCAGAGTCTCGTCACACCGGATGTTCGTCATAGAAATTTGATCACCGTGGTTTTTAATTTGGAAGGTCCACGTTGCTCATTTCTAGGTTTCAAACCAGCTTTCCGATTCGCTTTTGGCAAACTCTTTTTCGTTAAACTTTTTTTTGCAAAGTACAGAATCCTTCACTTTCCGACATTCCGTTCTGTGGAGCTTGAAGGATTCGAACATACCAGTCTCTTCATACCCCCCCCCCACAAACTTCCGAATACATCGCAGGTTTGGAAGAGGTCTACAACAGTCACAGAATCGAGCAGTTTTTCTTTGTATAAAAAAAGTTTCGCATGGATTCTGTAAACTATCAGCCTTGAGAAGTTGATAGCAAGGCTACGAGTCTTAACGTTTTTTAAAACTGAGGTGACTATATGCAAATACTAGAAGCGATAGATTGTTGGAGGACGTGCTAAGTCTACAGTTTTTTTGTTGTTGAAGAAATTGGCGCTATTTTTAAAAATAGTTTCCGTTACTCACAGTGCTATGTAGGATTAAAAATATGAGTTTGAATGTATATGTAGCAACCACCTATTGCTGCTTAGTGTTGTATCGCTCAAAGCTTTGTTAATTGTAATGAAATCAAGACATATACAGAATGATTTTTTCTTCTCAATTTTTGCATATCACATTTTTCTTGCTTGTATCCTTAAAACGGTGCGATCTTCGAATGAATGTCGTGATCATCGTACAATTTCTTCGTCGCCAGAAAATTCAAATGTTTGTGCTAAGATTGACTGTTTCATTGGAGACATACGAGTGCATGCCATAAAATTTTATGGATGGAAATCGTTCTCTATCATATTTTTATCGGATTCTTTTTGTTCTTTGCTTGCTGATCGTCTTTGAAGTTCTTACAGCATAAAATTCCTATCTGCTCACCGCAATTTCAACATTTGCATGCAGTGCTGAGTAGACAGTGAAACGGTTTCTGATGACTCAGTTATTTGGGGGCCGAAAAGAATGCAAGAACGAGCCGTGGTGTCGGCGAGAGATAAGCCTCATTCGCCGCGTCATAGATCGAATCGCCGTATTCATATGTCATCCGCTCAAATGTCACACTGCCAGTCGTCAGTACGAGAACATGTTTGGATTTACTACTTCAGTAGCAGCTTGCGATCTGTCATCGAAATGTGTCAAATAGCACGGTTGTAAAAAGTTACGAGGTCGACGTTGTTTGCCTTTCGTTCTTCTCCAATTGTTTCTCCTTGAAAACGCATTAAGGAACTGGAGCTTGGCGCAAATCTCAGCAAACATCGATTCAGCATTAGTCGTCGTTCGTGATTCTAAAATCTGCTTTGCTTTGAGTGTGGAATGGAGGGGGCAGCTCCACGTTTCTTCTGTGCCACATTCTCTGCAAAATGTTCATGTGCATTCAGTCTGAATTAATTCGCTTTTGTCCAGTGCTGTGACAAAACATATACTCTCATAATTCGATTCCAGGTTGATATCGCACTTTTGTTTCGTATTTCAACTCTCTTGACATCGCCCTGTTTCTATAAATACACTTTTTGCAGATATGAGCACAGTCTGCGGTAGAACGCAGCTGTCCGATTGGCGTGGAATCTCAAGCGCAAGTCGAGTTTATGTAGCAAACGGGTACGAAATATCAGATGATCTGCAAAGGAGACGTGTTGAGGTAAATTATCATAGTTTTTGGTTTGGAGAAATGTTGCTTCTTTGGACGTACAATAAAGTTCAGATAGGCTGGCGCTGTCCAGGCAGGTACTGGATACCTGGACTTCTAAGGTAATTGATTGGAAAGTCTCAACTGAGCTATTACCTAATTGGCAGCTCATATGATTCATACCGAGAAGTCGCTAGTCCTGACCGTAATTTCTTGGAGCAAAGCAGATGGTGCCTTTGTTGAAACTACGGTCTATTGTGAAAGGGTAGATTTCTTGACCACTAATGAATTATATAGAGTGCAACTTGGGCAATGGCTTAGTTCTATGCCTCCCAATCAGTCCATAAAAAATCAAACAGAAATTTGCCAAGCTCTTCCGGGTACTAAGGTAATAGCTAATGTTTTTTGGATACTACTCAGCCCAAAAATTTCTTTTGATATCGGGGTAGACTACCTCTTGAAAACTACCATACCTCCGAGACATGTTCAAAAAAAGTTCCAAGACAAAGTAAGGTATAGGAACTGTGGCGCAACTGATCACATCTATAGTACGACAGATCAAGAGGGCTGATTGCGTAGTCCAAATTGGCGTAGCTGTCTAGTTTTGAATCAGCAACACTGCTTAGGTGTAGCCATCTGAATATTTCTCCTATTTTGTTACTGACGCTTTATCAACTTTTCCTTTGCAAAGATAATGCTTTACAAAGTATTCGAAACGCATTGTTGCATCAACGAAATCTTTTTTTGCACTTAAGTCTTCCACAGTTTTTTCAATCGCCGAATTCCAAAAGAAAAAACATTGCGCTCATCCGAGAGAATTTTTTGAGCGCTACCATTATCTACGTGGCATACGTTGAATACTTTGTTAAGTTTTGGACTGATAAGGACAATTTGAATCCTTTCATGCATCATTGAAAATTTGTTGCGATGCTTGGAAAAACTACCTTAAGTTCACTTATATCCGATATAGAGGAAGTTAAAGCGAACTGCTGTTTCGCAAGTTTATATTCTTGCTGTCTATGGTTCTTTCTTGAATGTTGAATTTTGCTAGCTATTCGATTCGGAATCCTGTGGCCTGAGCAGAATGTATGTGGTTACTTGATACAAGTGACAAAACGTGCTGTCATTTTTTGGTAAAATCGCTGAATATCAATTTTGTTGCAGTGTGCAGTTTATGCGATGTAGGAGAAGCTTTTTTTTTCGAGAATCGTTCGCAAAATTACATTGTTATTTGTAAAATTTTTTCTTCTATAAAAGTTATATCAAGCTTGCAAATAGGTTTATTTCAGGGCAAGCTTTGGGAAATGTAGCAACGGTCCCATACAGGGTTCGGCTTACGAAGACCCTTTGACCTCCGAAATATCCGAAGCGACTAAAGAAATGAACGATTAGCAAAGGGGATATTTTGGACCCACAAAAACGATAACCTTTTGCTTTTTTCTCCAAAAACGATATCCAGCTTGGTTATAAACCACCTGTGCCGAGCCCTTGTTCTAAATCTGCCCTTCATAAAAAAATTTATCGCTGCATATCTTTGCCTCCTTAGTTCATGATCAAACCAGCGCAAACGGTATCCCTTAGAGCAATTTATTTTCGACAGCAGATGCTATGCGACATAATGTGACATGCCCGTGGTTGTACCACATTTCGAATCTACGCCATTCACTCATTTTGTAAGCCAACGTCTCAACAATGCTTGCTTACGTCATCCCAACATTTTTTTCTCATCAAATTAATTTATGGTTGCCAAGCGCATTTCCACCTGACACCTTGCCTCATCACGCAAAATGTGTTTTTATTGCTTTCTATTTTCTCAGCGTTTTATATTTGAGCTTTTGCGACTCAGCAATAATTCGCAATGCTTACTTCAGCAAACATTGACGCATTACCTTTACCCTACTCTTACCGGTTTGACGAGAATTTGATGATTCTGAGTCATTCGTTCGTGTCACCTTAGTGCGACTCATACACAGTAAACATCGATGTAGGGAGAAAACTATATCGAACATAGTTTCTTTGTGGAGGGGGTTCTAAATTTCCTAAAAATCTGCATAGAAGTTGTTGGCGAGCTGATATTGGGGAGTATTGAAGCCTATAGTCCTGCCGAACATTCACATTGTTACAAAGGAGGTTTTCAAAAATGCTTTTTGAATATAATAAAGAAGTTAATTATACTACATTCTCCGCGGTGTTGAGTTTTCAGTAGTGGTATGACAGTGACGGACCAGGGGGTGGGGGGGGGGGGAGAGGCGGTGGGTTGCAAAACTTTTGAAAGTTTCTCAAATGAGTTATAAAAACGTCCAAGTTACTTTTTTATTCTTGTAACTTATCAAAATAATTTCTGAACCTTTTCGAACATCCGATTTAACTTTCTGAAAAAATTTCTTCTTGACCGCTGCGCCGCTCCTTTTTTAAGTTTCGAGGTTATGAGCCCACAGAAAATTTGGGAAGCAGTCCAAAAAAAATCGTTTGGTCCGAAAAAGGTTTTTCGTTCATACCCTTTCCCTTTCCCCTAACGGAAATCCTGTGATCGCCTGAGCATTTGGATGATTCATGCAAATGCTAAATCACTTCGAAAGTTTCGCTTTATTATTCAGTTTTGAATGAACGTGAAATCTGACATCATCTGTGAGAGCACTCAGAATACGTTTGATTAAAAACACATTTGATTACTATTTCTGGTAGCGAAGCTCAAGGAGGTCTTTGTAACTTCAGTTTTGAATAGTATGAGAGGTGTTATGATCTTCGAAATGCTGTTTTTATTTTGGTAATTCAGTAGTTCACTTGGACATCAGAAGTAACAGCAAATAAAGCAATGCTTGATTGCATGTGCACAGTACATTATAGAGTTTGCCGCTACCATTCGATTTCTCAACATAATTTTCTGGTGCAAATTGTTTTGGTGATATTCGGCTAGTTTCATTTAAGCCAGAGAATGATCCATGTTCATTGAAGCTCGATAGCGATAATCGCGATCGAGAAGACTGCCTATTTTGCAATGTTTCGGCAGGACTTTATTCCATAATGACAGACTCCGTAAGCTAGACAAAACATAAAAGAAAGCGCACAATCCTTCTTTTACGCACAATTAGATCAAGTTTTTTTAAAGTTATCTCTGCAGCTGACAATGAGATAGTTGTACTTTTAAACCAACTCAATGTTAGTACCTGACCGTATAGTTAATACAGCCTGCAGCAAGCCTTTCTTAGTCTCCTTACAACTTTTTGTGCGTTTTTCATCTTCGGCGCAAGCTAACACCAATTTGAGTAATAGATCCCTCGAAACAATGAAGGCTCGAAATAGATATTGCAATTTCCGAGCCATTTTAAGGGCTAATAGTGAGTACGATGATTGCTCCCTGTTTTCAAATGTTGCATGACTGTGCGCCAGCTGAACAATAAAATACAATGAAATGTACTGATGAATTTGGCTCTAGTCCTACACTTCAAAACTGTTGGATATTTTTGCTGTGATTTTCTCCATAAGTAGTTTGAGTTGTTAAACTCTGACTAAAACCGTACTGAGAGTCTTTTTGCATTAGATTTGTCTCAAGAAGCCTAATTAAGTCCGCCAAAAGCATAGATTCTTTTATTTGCTCTATAATCAATGACGGATGGGCAGATGTGGTCACTTTCATAGATACCTATGAGCTTTCATAACCAAGCGAAAATAGATAGATCGTGTGCTTTAGAATATTATTTCTTTTCCTCGTTGAAATACACAATCATTTTGTAGCCATTTCAATGTCGAAAAACTGTGTCATGAAACTGCGCACGATTAGTTACTCCCTTGTTGGTTTGATCTTTAGCCATTTAGCGTCAGTGACGCTACTCGGAAACCTTATTTGTAAGGTTTCTCAATTAAATGATTTCTCTCTTAATGCTCCATTTATTTTACTTTCTTCAGTAGTTCCTTTTCTAGTCGACATGCCGGTTGCATTTGATTCAAAGTGACAGCGTCACAATTGCTACAGTAGAATAATGTCCTGAACAATGTACTGTACGAGTTTTTGTTTGATGCGCAGTTTTCCGAGTGTGAATCGCTTGGTTTTATTTCGCGCAGGTATCAAAGGTTTTTGCAGTTTGCAAGGCTGTCAACCCCTTGCAGCCGTCAAAGTTAAAGCGATAAGTTGCTCGCACTCGATATTGGAAGCGCGACCGGTCCAAGCAAAACATCTGTAGCTTCATGTCTGTATTTGAAGTATTCTCTTCGCTTTGTGCACAGATTAAACAGTAGATCTGCGACGTAACCGGTTCTGCTAGAAATTACAAAAGATCTGTGATTGTCATCCTCAAACTCGTCGTGAATATTTCACATCGTTTGAAGTATAGGTTTCAGTTTGTTTCCTGCTGTCTAGCACCTAGTATGCATGCTCCTTTTGATTTTCCTAAAATTCTTCGAAAGGCGGGGTGTAAAGAGAAGGTGGTACAGTTTTGCTAGGTACAAATACTGACTAAGTCAACCAAATTCTTTTCTGTTTAGTCAACGAACCATCTTTTTGAAGTGTGGATCCTTGGTATGCAAGCACTTTACAGTTTTGTATGAGACATTGGTCCTTGACTATCCATTCTGTGGCATCTTTTTTCTATCGTTTGTATCTCATAGTGATTCTAACTATTCCGCTGAGTGCATTGAATCTATGACAGACTTTTATTTTGCTGCATCTCTTCATTCATTGTCCTAAGAATGTGCCACTTGAGTGTTCTAATAGTTTTTCAGTGTTACATCAAGAAGGTTGTCATCAGCTCGGCTAGCATTTTTCTGCTTTTTACTATGCCATACATAATCTCTGCATATGATGTTTCCGAGAACATCAGTAAAGTAAAACCTAAAAATTTATTCAACCACGATTTTCTTGGCTCGTATGCACGTACGTCCCGTGGGGAGGGGGGAGGGGGGATCTGAGGGGGAGCCCTGGTACCTGTGCATAATAATTACCAGCTTTCTGCCACATAAGACTAGATTTTCGTTAACTTGTGTGATCCCATGGGAATTTCCAGGGGATCATCTCTTTTTTTTTCGAAGTTATTCATCTTTCTGAAAACTCAATGAAAACGCTATAAAATTGTACTGAGGATATACTACGGCGCTACTAAGCATGTTTTCGACAGGAGAAATGGAATCTGAAGATTGTGAATTTATCGATACTAGCTTGCAAGCCTTGGTTCAGCGAAGCTTTCCACGAGATTTTACTTATTTCTACCATAATTTGTATAGCAGATATTATATCCTCAGCACAATTTTGCAGCATTTTCATTGGGTTTATAAGAAGAGAAACGACTTTGAAAAATGACAGGTGGTCCCCCGAGGATCCCTAGGAGATCATACGAAATAGTGAAGATCTGATCTTGTATGACAGTACCCTGACAACCATTATGCGCAGCTATCAGGGTATGAGAACTTTCATAGCCCAAGAGAAAAAAGAAGGAAGATATCTAGAGCAGCAAGATATGTCGCATCCCCTCTCAGATCCCTTCCCTTCCCCGTGGGAAGTACGTGCATACGGGCCTTATTGTCTGTCTGATCTGTAATAGTTATTGCTATGCATCTGTTTGCTAAAGAAGTAGATGATACTGATGCAAAATCAAAAGTTCAAGGAGAGCAACAAAATCGAAACAGTGTTTTTAGGTGCTGGAGAAGCGTTACGGTGGACGAGCACGTGCGCATCGAGCAGCGATCGTCATTCAACGAGCTTATCGTGACTATCGCATGAACCGGCGATGGAGAGAGATGACGTCACCTAATCAAAGGTTAGCGTTGTCTCATCGCTGAATTCGTCACCCCGTCTTTGTTACAGCAGCGCCCTGTTGTTTGGAGCGCGCAAAAGACAGACGTTTACAATGTGCCGCATTCCATTGCTGGCCTATAACTGCATGCATAATGTACCAGTCTTGCTGAAAATTTTGCGCAAAATAGCCATCGTAATCCAATATTTGAGGTGCCATGCTCAAATTTCTTCTCTTGTACCTTCTTTTGAAAACGTATCCCTCAACATTAGAACCAGATCTTGTCGAGTTTGGCTTACAACGAAAGCGTCTTCACTCGAAGTAGCAATTCCAGATGAAATCTATATCACTTTGTAAAATTTCAAACCCTGATTTCGAATCTGTCTTCGTTATCTGATGTGCGCTTCTGGACGTCGAGTTGTAGGCGTTTTTGGGTCGAAAAATAAACCAATTAAAGTGAAATGAATCAGCATCGCACAAATGGGCCACTCACAAGGGAAGGATGGTTGGTCGAAGTGGCCTTTTGAGATGTTTTGTATACCCTGGTGGAGGGCATAAAACGCTGATTCCAAATCTGTCTTCCTTATCTGCGGCGCGTTCCTGGACGAGGAGTTATGAGCGTTTTCTGAGGAGCAGGAAAGTGAGTGTTTTTCTGCGATAAAAACAGTTGCTAATATTTTCCCAGCGCTTGAATGAGACAGCCGTAGTGCGGATATATCTCACCTAAAATTATGTATTTTATAGAGTGCTGGAAAGATTACCACTGGTCCATTCAAGCGCTAGGAATAATGTTACTACTGTTTTCATATTATTATTTGCAAATTCAATTTTTTTCTCCAGTAAACGCTCATAACTTCTCGTGTAGTAATGCGCCTCAGATAAGAAAGACAGATTTGGAATCACTGTTTTATGCTCTCCAACATGGTATACAAATCATCTTAAAACGCTTCGACTGACCATCCTTCCCTTGTCAGATGTTATGGCACTTCATGCTTTGAATACTTTCTACTCACCATCGCTAATTGATTTTATACAAATTATAGCAATTTTAGTGTGCAGGCCGTAGAGCAGAAGTTAAAGATAAATTTGGAATCAGCGTTTGATTCCCTGCAAGATCATATGAAGCTCACACATTTTTTTTTCAGTAATTTCGGTTTCGTAAATTTTGTGATACCGCGCATCTAGCGCACTTATCAATATAGTGCGCTTAATCAGCTGGTAACTCCTCACTTGAATAAAAATCATCTCGGTTATGGTCAAACTAATAGCAACGCATTTGTATCCCTCAACCAAGCATCGCTGTATATGCCGTCTGCGTCAGCAGGACTTTCTCATTTGTTGCTCGCAAGGATATGTTTCTCTGTGTTTCGTGAAAAATGATAGTTGCTAGTAAAATATTGCGTTAGGCTGAAACAGAATTGCTGCACGTAACCTGAATTTTGTGAATCGCTATAAATCTTTGGTTGCAATTTGAACTGTGCAAACTTTCTACAATATAGAATGTATCATTTCGTCATTAGACCACCAAAAAATAGCTTGAAGATAACCAGTGGTTTTTCTTCAAAACCTACTTAGAAGCTATAACTTTCCGTAAGATGTAAATTGGCTCAAACTTCTCTTGATATGTAGCCAATACTTGGTTGGGCAGGAGGAAGTGCTAGATTCAAAGAAATTTTCCACTAGAAGATACTGCAATTTTTGAAGTGCTTTTTCGGTTCTTTGGGGAGGCGGAATACTGCCTTTTTACAATTCTCCCATTCTTATCACTTTCGAGAAGCGAAGAAAGCTGCTTCTCGACTACGAGACGTCGTAAATCCACTTTCTTTACATATAGCGGATGTGCAATAGCTTTGCGCTCAAGATCTCATACGGTTCCGCAAAAAGAACGCAGCGACTGATTATGTGAGTCTTAATATTTCTCAGTCCAAAAATTTCTGGAAGTCGTCTTCCAAAATGCATCTTGTACTACACTCTTTTCGCAAACACTATGCACTTTTTTGGAAAGATCCGCCATTTCCTGGTGGTGTGGTCTAGGAGCAAGGAGAAAGAAAAAAATCATCAAATTTGACCTTGTTTTTAGCAAGTAATATCGAAACAAACTCACTACCAGAAAAGAGCTTTCAGACAGTTTAATATTTCCTAGGAAAAAAGGTTTCTTTTTCGTAACCCGCTTCCGAATAGCAAAACGATAAGATTTTAGCAAGCTAAACGTTTCTTCAAATCCATAACTTTATTTAAACCGAAAATTATTATATGTCGCTTTCACAATCTCCCCATTACAATTCCCGCAATTTACTCATTGTAAAGTGAAAGTGCTAGACGAGGTAGTACTTTTTTTACCCTTCGGCGACCACCACTGTGTTTGAAATAAATTGTTTACGAGTAGTAAATTGTTTAAAGCTGTGCTCAAACTTTGTTCAATGCTTTTAAATTAAAGGGTCAATGCTACTATATACTTGGCTAGAATAGATCCTCTCTTATCAAGAAACTGGGAAGCATTTGCATTTCTGTACGAGACTTACCTAAATCTTTCTGCTAGTTAATTTTTCTAATCTTAACTTATCGAATATCTTCTACACAGTATGTTGCAGAACTTCCTTTTTCTTACATTTTCCTTCGTTTTTTTTTTCACATCTCTTCATTATCTGAACTTTGGTCTGTCTGACGATTAGCTTCGTAACAGCGAGCTTTGCAAATATTGAGAATTTCTTAGATTTTTGCTCACAATCAGGCACCCCCTCCACTCATTTGATCCTTAGAGCGATTCGCCAAAACCCACATGATCAAGCGGAGCGGCACCTCCTTGGGTATAGCATAATAATTTGCTTTCTATAGTCATTCTCTTGCAGATCTCTTGGACTTGAAGAACAATTGCTTATCTCATCAAAGGCTTCAACATCGAAGCTGTCAAAGAATCTCGCATCCAACAGGTATGTTTCTGTGATTTGCCTTTGTCATAATCTGATTTCCAAAATAGACCGCTGCTATTCATTCGATTTCGTTTTCTTTTTCGTTTCGCGCTCAATAAGAATTGGATGTGCATAACCGGTTTTGTTCGATCCTAGCCCTAAGTAATAGGCGCTCTGGGCACAATGCATTAGATTTTAACGAGATTTTGGTGATTGTGCTAGACAGCTCAATCATGATTGATCAGGACGCGTGTATTGTTGTGCTCTATCGCTTTGTTTACGTGAACTATGAACTGTTGTGGAACAATCCGACAGCCATCACGCTCTAAGGTGTGTTGTATACGAGTGGCAAAGTATCATGTTGACAAAAAAGTAGATCATAGGTGATGCTTGCGCTTGTCACGTCGGGATTTCATTGATTTCGCGCTGTAGTTCCTTGCTGTGGATATCAGCGTAGATCTCAAAGGCCACTGTTGCTGTCTTTATCAGGTCTCAGCGCATTGACAGCACGCTGTCCGCGATCTTTGTGACTAACCGACCATCTTCACGACGTGTGCGCTACCTTTTGACACTTCTGCTCGATTTTGACTTCAAAGCAAACAATTCGGTTAGATTTGCTGCGTGATTGCGTAGCTACGATTGAGATTAAGGTCGCTGATCGTTTTGCAAAGATCTTGCATCAGAATTTCTCCATTCTTTTGCCTTTGTCTCTTGTTGTATTCGATTGGCTAAAAAGTAAGTTCTCGTGCAAACCTTCATGAAAAATGTTGGTTGTTTTTTTCTCTATGATTTTCCAAAGAAAGTTCAAAGCTTTTGCTATCACACAACCATTTAGATTTGCCAATAACAATAACAGTTATGCTTTAATATCCCAAATTTTCAAGATCTCAGTCTTTTGAATTTCTTAGCTTCGTTTGCATGTGTGATGGATATAGAGATTGAATCAGTATTTGGTACATACATCGGAGTTTTCTCTGTTTAGCAAATAATAACAAAAATTGTTTGCAATTGTTTAAAAAAAATATTTGGAAATTTTTTGCCAAAAAACAAATTGACTTACATCAGTGAGAACTTGAGGTGTCTTGTCTCACTTTCCTGCGTCCTTCCTTCATTGGGAAATAAATGCTTAAACATGTGTACATTCCAACTGTTACTGAAGTGGTCTTTCCAGAGGTACCAAACACTGGACAAAAATTTGTCTACAGCATCTTTAGTAGCCGCAAAAGCCGAAATTTATTAGCCATCCTAATCTGCAAGCAAGTTCTTCCAAAAGCTCATGTGTGCCAACGCGTTTATCATCAGTTTCCAACTTAATAAGCTTAGTGATAAGGCAATTGACTTTGGTTCTGCATTCACTTTACTTTTACTAGCATCTCGCCTGGTTATACGGTTAGGTTTCGAATGAGAGTGAGAGCTCTGGCTCTCAAAATAGCTTTCTTTTCACCACATTGGCTCAAATGCTTTTGCAATTTGAGTGAACTTTTTGCACTGATTTATCTTCAAAACTATTGAATATCAATTTTTGATCTACTTTCTCGTGTCCAGTGTTGATTTTGCTTGTGTCAAACCGATCTGTCCGGTTAGATTGGTGAAGAAACATAATTTCAAGAGCCTGGATCTTTAGGTACCTGCCTTCAACTTCATTAAGCGCTCAGCTACGCGCTGATCGCGCACAGTTGGCTGGTTCATCTGAGTTATTAGCCAGGAACAAGCGAACTCCACCATCACCATCGCCGTCATCTCCACACCCTAACAGGAGCATGATTGGTGAGTTTTATACTCATACTAATATGCATGATTGGTGAGTTTCATACTCATACTGATATGTCTTTTGCTTTATTGGTCTTCTAGAGCTTATCTTGATTTGATTTGATTTATACTGCAGTTAGAAACTCAAGAATCCAATCTGCAATCGTCAGACGACGCTTACATGAAATTTCTGTTGTACGATCTCTTAAGTAGAACTGGTCAGTCATCCAAAAGTCTGGTCTGCGATAGTCTTATCCCACTCGTCATCATCTTAAAGTCTTAATCTTTGACTTTTTTGGCGTTATACGATCATCACTGAGAGATTACTTCTTTGATTACGTCATAGCGGTCATATATAGCTCTTTTACGATCCATGTTTCTGAGCTCCTCCTTCTCGTTTGATTCGTTTTTCGGCGCCCTCTGTTGCAGCTGCCAGCGCCACAGCTGCTCGAATTATTCTCTCATTTGCCGCATAGTCCATGACTTGGCACCTCCAATGCTCTTCTCTACTCATGTCCTGTTCTTTGAACTTATAAGATGTCTTGCGACTCAATTTTCGACCGCTCTTGTTGCCATTCATGTGCTCGCTAAATGGAGTGAACAGTGATCTCTACTCTTATCACTGAATTATTAATATCGTTTTCAGTTTTGAAACCACCGCAATATAAACACCCTCTCTAGCATTTGCACATTTGATTTCGAAGATTGCTGTCCCAGCTATCTTGATCAATAATTTTTTACGGTCACTTTCGATGACCTGCTAAAAAACGTGGGATCAAGTCCCTATAAAAATATTTGGTAGTGTCAGATAAAGTAGTAGAACAAGAAATTGAATGTAATTTTAAGACAATGCGTTAGAGAACGGCGAGAAAATCAAAATGAGATCCTCACCAGGCTTGCGAGTTAAAGTACTAAATCGAATTTTCACATAGTAAAAACTACCGGATATACTCGGATTCGACAGATCAAAACACCTTGCACCCCAGTCCATCTTACACGCAAATATGTGAGTTTTATCTTGGAAATACGTATCGCTATTTATGGCTGTTAAGCGATACAGTGGTAATTGTTTATTCATCAAGTAATCTCGTTCATATTGTTTTTTTTTTACTTCGTTTGTGCTTTCACTACTCCAGTACAGCAGGAGAAGCTTAAAGTCCAGAAAATGATTATTTTGTATTGATGACAGCTTAATGGTCCATTATACTTTATGTCGATAGTTCAGATCTACTGATTGAGATACAAGGTGTAAATTAAGCTTTTTTCATAAATCAGTTATATTTAACTAGTTTCCTTGTATTCTACTTAGCGTTAAATAATTTTTAGTCATCATATGATTGGAACAATTTTTTGAAGGGTTTGGATTTTGATCCTTGTTGCTGCTGTGCTAGTGATGCGTACATTTTGACCTCATAATTTTGAACAATATACCAGCTGGCTTCGCTTTCAACAGTGGCCTAGTTGACGGCGAAAAACAGAATAAGCTACATTTGCGATCCGAAAAGAAATTGTACGTCATCTGTCATCGACAGTCGTTTCGAGTTTTTTCGGAGAGAACTAATCTGGATACCGGACGTTGCGAAGCCCACTTTTTTCGATAATCTCCGCTGATAGGGCGATAGCTGAGAGATGAGACAGAATTGGGTAGGAGACATGGAGTGGTCTCCATTAATGTGGTTGTCGAGTGACTTTGTTCGATGCATTCCATATGGATTTACAGCATCCAAGGTAGTCGCCAGTGTAGTTCCCTAGGCTTCAGTAACGTCATTTGCAAGCAACTTCTTAGCGGTAAAAGAAGTTTTTCGAGCTGTTACGTGACATCAACGGACTTTCCAGCCTCTCTGCAAGGGCTTAGCTAGAACTTGTAGGTCTAGTGAAATTGCTTTTCTTGCCTGTTTCCCATTTACGCACATACTATGTTTTTCATTATCTATCTGCTAAAATGAGACTGTAAATGTGGTTTAAGTAATTAAGTATACCTTTCTATTATTTTTAGCACCTTTTTTCAACACTTGCTGAATTCACATATTATTAATTAATACCAAATTGCCCAAATTTTCCAGTTCTTCTCATAATTTTGTATTGAATTTCGGTTACATTCTCAGAACACTTCGGAAATTTTTTATGAAGCGATAATCGCAATGGAATTAAACAATTCTAAACTATTTCAATTTAAGTTAGAAAGAATCCTGTAAAAGTTCTAGTCTTAGTTTTTTTGCCTGAGATGAAAAATTTTGGTGGCTTGGTGAATTTGATAAACCGTTTCAGTTTCAAACATACTCATCAATTGTTACAAATTTTTTTGCGTGATTCATGTCATCTCATCAAATGTTTTTTGCAGTCGACTCTTGTTTGAGATTGCAACGGTAGACATGTACGTGAAGACGTCAGGAAACATTTTTCAATCTGCACAGTCGACGTCTTTGTGCTTGAAAAGATCATAGTCCATGACAAATTGCTAATCTCTCGCGAAATGATAGCAGAAATTTGCACAAACTATGAAGAATGAATGGTTTATCCATCCTGGAATTTATCTTTTTCCTCTTCACTGATTTTGCCTTAGCGATTTTGGTTTCTATTAGGGTGTCTCATAATTTTTTACCGGTTTTACCCTAAACATCAGCTCTCGAGAACTGGGGCACCAACAAAGGGTACAAATACATGATCATACCTGAATGTATGAGCTATATGATCACGTGTGTGGGAGGAGCTCAGGATTTCTAGAGGCGGAGTTTGCCATTTTACTTCATTCATTTTTTTCTTTATTTTTAGCCGAAAAAATACGGAAAGTGTACAATTGAATGTTCGATGTGTCAAGCATATGCTAGGATAAATAGGAAAATTTTAAGATTTTTTTTGGGCCTAGATACGGTTTTTAGGGTAAATTTCGTTCTTGACTGCCACATATTTCAGCTCAAAACTTCACGTGGAATACAAATTGGGCAGACTATTGATAGCCAACTTGTAGAACTTGCTTTGCTCTGTCAAATGGTTAATTAGGCCACATCATTTGATGAAAAAATATAAAAAACAACGTTTGTAATTATAATAAAAACGGTGAAAAAATTATGAGAATTCTGATCTTGTGCGAAGCGTCATAGACATCATCACCTCCTCCCCTCATTTTCCCATTCGGTTCCCTTCCGCATGAATGCTTCCTTCCTTCCCTCCATAGTCTCTTTCTTCAAAGATGCTGATGAAGTTTGAATGATGTCAAGGCAATGAAGTAAGTGTCCCCTTTCTTTAGCCCACTTTTTTGCACTTATTTCGAGGTTAATTGCCGAGATTGCGTTTCACCCTCGCAGTTTTTTGTCTCTGCCCTTTCGCAATGCCCTTTTCAACTTTCGACCTTGTGCTGCCTTGCAGATGTATTGATCTTGGGTTCTGTGACTGTTCATCCCAGTCTTTCTGGGAACAGTTACGATTTCTTGTACTGTAATGGGTGATAAACCCCGTTGTCTGACTCATTCGACAAGTTGCGCGCGAATGTTCTACTCGCTTCTGAGAGAGAATTGTTTGCGTTTGTGGGTACAAACGATTACCAACTTGGCTCGAGTCTCATACCTGCTACTTGCAACACTGGCTTACTGCTCGTCCTTGCATTCTTCGCCCCCACCTCATTTGAATCGAGTTCCGCTGCAGCTTTCAAGGCTGTCTGTTAAGCGCCTGGCTACTGTTTCAATTACTCATGCATTCGTTAAGCAACACGAGTCTTTTCGAATTCCAGACAGTCTAATGTCTCCGCGGCTGGTGCAACGAAGATTTCCGCCTGCCGAACGTTTCGGCTCCGCACATGCTCCCGGATGTGCAAGTGCATGTAATGGCAATGTCGTATGGGTACCTCGTACAAGCATTACGTCGTCTCCAAATCTTAGCAATTCAAATAGCCTTTCTCGAATAGAAAAGGTTGGGATCAGAAGGTAGGTCTACACTTTTTTGAAACTTTGCAAAAAAAATTCGTTTGCGGTTTGATTTTATTGCTCGTTAAAGTCCATGGGAGTCGCTGTAAAGGTTGTAAAGTACTATATTGTTGTGCGACAAGACTTATCTTTCATGAACCTTCTTATAATAATAGATGTTTCAAAAAATTTATGAGCGATAATTTATGTTCTACAATGGCATAGACTGATAGAGATCAGAAATCAATTTTTATGTTCTACAACGACATAGATTGATAGAGATTAGAGATTAATTATGCCTGATAGGTTTTCTGGGACATAGATATTGACCTTACATCATCTATTATTTCTTGACTACTCCACAATTTTTTCGCTAAATATTACATCGAATTCATGCGGTAATTGATCAACTGTTTTTGTTCTTGCCCACGGTTCAAAAGATAATCTTAAAGGTTCTTCGCTTCTTCTAAAGTTCATGACTTCCTCTTTTTGACAGATATCTCAGTTTCAGTAGGTGATCACGCTTGTGGTTATATCTATATCAGGTGCGAAAAATGATTGAAGAAACGGGCAAAAGAAGATTCAAAATCGTTTTTTCGAAATTAGCCCCAAAAAATGCTCGCAATACAATCTGGCATCATCATTAAAAGTGTTTTGGATCCGCTATGTTTAGTCGTAATTCTTTTCAATCTTAGTTATACGATATTGTGGTGAACTACAGCATCGAAAAGCTTAACGATTTTCGAAAGAACTGCTTTTTCCATTGTCATTTTTCTTGAAGTATGAATCTTCGAAGTTCCGTTGAACTTTTTCAAACAACAAGACTAAGTTGTAGAAATCTTTATTTATGATGCCAAATTTGATAATAAACTAGGTAACCAGTAATCTCGAAGGTGCTAGTTGCAGGCGCGCTCGCTTCGGGACCCGCTCGGTTTCCCGCTATTTGATGATTTTTGAATGCACCTTACGATTCTTAATATTAGATAATACAAAATAATACCACCTTTCTAATTTTATGCTTTTACGAAACTATGATTCGAGTAATGTCTTCTGTCTTGATCTCTACCACTTTCGGTAGAAAGTGGCAAAAGTGTACAAAGCGCATCATGTCTTTTCACTAAAATTAACTTTAAGCAAATTCGTTGTGATGGCAAGAGACAACTAATCTGTGAAAAAGTGCATCTTTTCTGCGTGATAGCAGGAAATTTTTTGTTTTCATATCTCTCTTTTACGACCTTATCGTAGACCACTTGCGAAGGAAACTGGATGTAAAAGCAATAAACTTCCGTTTAAGTACCCTAACAGAGCGCTATGCGCATTTTTCAAATTCTATCGTGTGCGTGGGAAGGCAAAAACGCTTGATTTGCACTTATAAAAAACTTGCATTCTATCAAAGATGGCATCTTATGGGAAGGATTGATGCTGATTGCATCCTTTTAGCGAACCTGAGCCTCCACGCCCGCAGATTCGATACTACAGTGAACAGGAACGAAAGCGACAATACCGGATAGCCCTTAATTTTTTCAACAAGTGAGTCGGCTGCGGAATAGTCGTGGTTCTGTGTTTATGTTGATTGATTAGCTTTAGAAAGCCTGAACGAGGAGTTCAATTATTGACCGCATGGCGCTTTGTCGATGATTCGGCCGAATCGCTTGCCAATCTGCTGTTTGGAAGGCGAGGGCTCAGCAAGCAGATGGTCGGCGAGTACATTGCAACGTTACACTCCACGTTCCACTCATGTGTCTTGAAGTAAGTTCAACCATTTCTTCTCCAGAGGCTATGTGTTTCATAGGGGTTAGGCTGGAGTGAAAATTTTTGGTTTGCTTCCAATGATGATGTTTGAATCCGGGGAATTTGGGCAGCATACGAAGCGCACTCCACTAGTTCTAAGATTCAGGAAGTGACATATCCTATAAAATTTTGCAGAAAGCATTGGAGTTTGCAGGAACTCTAGACTTTTTTACAATATAACTATCACACGTTCTTCTCAAAGTATGATAGATATAGGTACATTCACCTAGCTGATTGAATTTTGTAAAGGCTACTGCATGACGAAGGCGCAATGGCAGTATTAGTTGAGCGGGCGCGAACGGCGGCACGCGCGTATCCTCACCGTTGTAAATTCCTGCGCCTTCTGCGCTCTGCGGTTAATAAAGCCGCGTTCGCGCGCAAAGATATTGCGCCTTCGTCATGCAGCAGCCTATAACTATTACATGCTCAGGCAATCACATAGGACTTCCGGCGCGAACTTCTAAAACTTCCCGGGGACGCTCCTTTTGGGCCGTGTGGCGTGGGCGGTGTGGCGTGTTCTCCGCCCTACCTGGGAGCTCAAATAGGAGTGGCCCCCGGAAGTTTTAGAAATTCAGTTTGCGCCGGAAGTCCTCTGCGATTGTCTGAGTGACTAAAAATTTGATGGGTGTCCAATTGTGATTAGGTCTCGCCTGCATTATCTACCACCTTACACATTCGTTGATCGTGAGGAATAGCCAAATTCTAAGAGCTCAAGTCTGGTACCTTTTTCGTAAAATAGTGGAAGATAGTGCAGCGTCACTTTTGTGGAATTGGCAATAAGTTTTCTGGATAGAAGCTGCAAAGCATGTCGTGATGGCAGTGTTTTTCTCGGAGTTTCGCACATGCGCATGTCTGCAAAACTTTTGAGGCTTTTCCAGCAGCTGTGAGGACCTCTATATTGCAGAAGAAACATTAGGAAGAGCACACTCGCAAGGGAAGGATACCTGGTTGAAGTGGCCTTTCCACATGAAATGTAACTAGTTTATAGAGCATGGAACGCTGGTTCCAAATTTGCTTTTGCCATCTGCAAAGCGCTATTGAAAGTGTAATTATGGAGATTTTTTAATGGAAAAAATTAGGAAGTTTTGCTACAACAAAATTATTCAGATCTTCGTCCGTAAGTTCAAACGGGGCCATGAGTACCAGGGCATTTTATTGAATAAAGCTACCTGAATACCTTCAATCTAATAAACTCAAGTCAGTCATTGCCTTTTTAAGTGCGAGAGAAACCTTAACACCTATTTTTATCTTAGTCTAATCAGATTTTTTACCAAAAAAAACCCCTAGAACTCCCCTCCCGAAGCGTTTTGCAGATGACGGAAGCGGATTTGGAATCAGCGTTTGATGCTCTTTAAAACAGTGTAAATCTCATATGGAAAGCGCACCCCACACCTTATACCTTGATATCTTTTCATGTTCGTAGATTACAAATTTGATATGAAAATTACGCTTCAACTGGATCCCACTGCATATACATAGGATATAAGGCGTTTATGTTTAGGTACTTTATTGGTCAAATAGATGTTCGTGGTCTAGAGGTGGATGTGGCCCTCAGAAAAGCCATGCAGTACTTTTTTCTTCCGAAAGAAGCTGAGAAAATTGACAAGATCATCCAGGTAATTGGGTCATTCTTAGTTTCATGATTATGAAAAATGAACGTTTTTGATGATATTCTCTCAGGAATTTGCTCAGCACTATGCAAAATGCAATCCGAAACGAACAAAACAGTTTCGCGGTGGATGGGACACTATTCATATGATCGCTTTCGCTGTCATAATGCTCAATACTGATCTTCACTCACCTAATCTAAAGGTAGTGTTAGGATTGACGATTAATGCATGGGTTATTTTTACTCTATTTGTTCAGAATTCTCAAAGAATGCAATTAGAGCAGTTCATTCACAATTTGCGTGGACAAGATAAAATGCGCGGCGAGAAGGAAGGTTTAGATATCGATAGGTGCGTGCACTTGTTAGAAATGTAATAAGGCCAGCTGATTTGATTCTCTTTGATTTAGAACTTGTTTGCAAGGGATTTATGAGCGTGTTCGAGCGGAAGAGATCCGTCCCGGTGATGACCATGTTGCGCAGGTCGCACGCGTCGATGCTGCGATTGTCGCTCGGGACAAACCGGTGAGTCACCTTTTTTGCGCTTGTCTGGTGTTAGAGACGTTTTTTCGAATAATTTATTTGTTTTTGATAAATTTTGTTGAGTTTATTTTCTCTTAGGAATTTTATTTTCGAGAGACTCTGTTTTCGCTTTGTTTTATTGTTTTTCTTATTATGCTGTTCTGACTGTAGCATGTATCAAACTTGCAAACTTTTCGCGGGATGAGTTGTTGATGCTAGAAAGCGAGTGAATTGTTTTGTCGGCTCTGCAGAACCGTATTCATTTCTAAAATACACCCTCAGTCTTTTCGACTGAACTTGTTTTTTTTTTTCAGAAGGTAGTAAAATTAGCTTTTCTGGACGAAACATTCTGATGAGCCATATTCCACCGGTGTTGTAGGAGAAAATGCTTGTCTCAATCGTGCAAGATATTACTCTGTATAACTTCTCTAACAAGAGCAAAAATCGCATATCAAACCTGTTTGGTTAATTGACTGAAAATACTTTTTCTCCCATTCATAACTATTGTCAAAGCTCACGATGTACCAGCAAATATATTATTCGTTGAAATTGCCCTTTTTTATCATTGTATCTTATATCATTCAGCGGCTAACTGAAACGCAACGACGTCTGGTTTGTTACTGTCGGCTCCAGCAAGTACTGGATCCATCCCGAAAACAGTCTGTTGGCTCTCATGAGAGGGATGTGTTCCTTTTTAATGACATGCTTGTGGTAGGTACAATTTTTAACTGTCTTTTGGAATTTTCTTGTGATATAGAAGCCGTTTTAGGTTGCGAAAGCTATCAATAGGCGGCGTTCATCCTCACACACTTCTTATACGCTCAAGCATTGGTTACCTCTGCTAGGTGCTAGGGTAAATGAGTTCAAGGTAAGTAAAAATTTTTTTCAGTTTCTCTTTTGAAAGCCTTGATCTTCAGAGACCTCATTACGAGTTTGGCTTGACGATAACTGGACCTGGACCTGACGGTCAATTTTTACATTTCAATGCTAGGAATTTTGATGACAGGTATTACTTCAAACTTTATTTTTTTAGCCTTGATTTCCATTTGCTTTCATGCAACTATCAGGCTATTGATATGCTTATTTATAACGATTCTATGGTAACCCAGAACTTCATGACTTTGTCATTTGGCTTATCAGCGCATTAACATTCATCTTAAATAATCTAGTAGTTTTTTTTCTATTGCTATTTTTTTGAGTCTGCGTGAAAGCTCCACCAAGAAATCATATTCTTGTTCAGTGCGTGCTTTGAATAGGCGCTTGTAATGATATCTTCGACTAGTATTAGCGAAAACAAATATCATACTGAAAATGTGTAGAAGTTCACTATAGAAGCTTGGAAACCAGCTATGACCTTTTTTCTAACACACCTATGTCAAGTTTCTTCCAGATGTCGATTTGTGGCTGATGTGGTAGAGTCCATCCGCGAATCCTGCCAGATGGAAGAAGTGCGGTTGGAACTCGAAATGGAGAAGCACACTCTGCGCACCGACAGCCAGCGAGACAGCGGACTTCCCGAAATTGACGGAAACGAGTGTCTCCTTCCCAGAAATCCCGCGAGCGGTGGTTTGGTGCCTACCTTTCGTCGCCTCTCCTTCAACTCCCTTGACTCCGGAGTAGTCGAAGAGCCTTGCGAAAGCAATTCCTAAGCGTGCGTTCTCTAATCATCGTGATCTCGTTGGTGGTTCTTCATATCGGCTTTCGTCGTCTAGTTGTAGTGATTCTACGTGTCATTGCTCATAGTTTTCTATAATTTTTACGGTGCTGTATTGCTTAATCGTGCTCACTAGACAGGGAATGGGCCCCATTTTGACCACTATTACTCTGACCAACTCAACTTGCCTCACCCGTCGTGTCTTTGTATGCCCCCGATCTAATCTCCCACTACTTTTCTCATCACATTTGCCTATGAGTTTCGCACGTTTCACTTGCATCTAATTCACTACGAGGTACGTCCTGAGATTATCCCCATCACTTCACTTCGTTTTTGAATTTGTTTTTTTCTGAATGCACTCTTCACTTCAATCAATCTCGAGGCTCCCTTTTACATCAACTAGTGTTCTATGACTAGTTCTAATCATTTGTCCACTGCTAGGTCGCTCACTGACCTCCACGAATGTGCCACTAATGTATTATTTTTGAACTTGCCATTCCGCTGAACATAGGACATTAGACCGTGTATACTTCTAAGTCATATTTGCTGCTCTATCTTGCAGTCTTATATCGTGTGAATATAAATATATATACATTTTTATTTCTATGGTAGTTGCTGCTCTCCACATCAGTTACATTTTCTTTGATATTTTTCTATTATGTATGGAATATGAAGCATTAGATGCTTTCGGACAGAATGTTGTGCTCAATGTTGAGAACCCGAACTTACAAACCTTCTTCTATTGTTATTAGTCTTTGAAACGATCTGAGGCGTCCTGTGAAATCCCTGAAGTTTTCATTTCAAATTTTTGGGTTTTCAAAAAGTGTCGGGTCATTTCTTTCCCAGTCGATGGCGGATCATTGACAGCCGTGCTAGTTTTTGCATTTAGTTTTTAGCGACGATTTGTCTGGGTGAGCTAATGGGTATGTACCTACACGATCACGCAACCAGAAAATGAAGAAAGAATGTCTTAACATGTCAAATAGCTCCTTTACACCAAGTTTTAGCGAAATTTTCTAGCGAGGTTTCCAAGCAGTGGGCTATCTCAGTGGAATTATATTGATTCAGTCAGACCGAAACCGTTTTTATAAGAATTACGCGATTCATGCATGCAGAAAAGTGTGACTGCGACACCCTTTAGGCTCGTGCCACTCTCTATAACTAACGGAACAATTTTTGGCGGAAGATATCTAGTCATTCAGTACTCCAGATCTTGTAATTTCTATGGGAGTGATCTGAGACTGCTGGTAACGATGTCTCAATAGCAGTTGCTCACATAATTATTAAAAAGAAATTTATTTTTGGCAGTCACTGATTCCAGTGTTCAAATTTAGTTGAGGTGGTCTTTGGAACATGGGGAAAAGGGAAAGGACGCTTTGTTTATTCTGATAATATAATATGGCCTAATTCATTTCTAACAACTTTCTTGAAACGGCTATTCCCTTTAGAAGACCCAAAATTGATACCTCAAAGTTTGCTAAAATTTGGTCCACAATGCTCAGTAAACATCCTAATCACAAAAATGATACTCACAAGCGAATGGACAGAAATCGATGTGGCCAATGTAAACAGGCTGTATACCATTAGATGCAGCACAAAGCGTTGACTTCAAATCTGTATTCCAAATCTGCTTAGCGCCCATGTGGGCGAAGTTATGAGCCGTTAAAGGCCGTTATTTTGCTAAATGATCGTGCATGGAAAGTGTAAACTTGGCAGTGCAGGGCCACGTTCGGCTTAATACTGCGCCAAAGCATGAAGTTGAAAGTGTAACAGTGTGCCCATTTTCGCAGTTTTGATGTACTACTTTTTTGAAATAAAACTGCGCATATCTTCATCCACAAAAAGCGCTAAGCAGGTATGGGAAACAGATTCGAAATCAGCGTTGAATGTTGCATCGAATGGTAGGCAGCTTGCTTGGATTGGCCACTTCGACATCTGACCATTCCCAGGGCCTGGCACAGATCCTCTGAAAGGCTGCACTTCGTTTTTGGAGCAAAAGGCAAAGGAAATATCGTTTTTGACGAGTCGGGGCCGAGCACCTAGAATAAGCGCCATTTTGTCGATCACAAGCTTTTCGGACAGGTTATCACACGATTGACATGCTCTATCGTGTATGACGAAAAGTGCGCGCGATTTGAAAGAAAGGCTAAAATAAACAATTGCTTGTTTACAGCGCGCATAGAAGCATATGACACCAAATTTGAACTGTATACATAAAAAAAAAATTGTTTGCGAAAGAATTATGCAAAAAGACTTGAAAACCTATAGAAAGTATTACCTTCTACAAAGTTAGTCCGTCCCCAGACGGTCACCGAACAATCTGAGATTGTCTGTAGCATATATTTCTGTCACTTCACATAAGTTTTGGATTTTTCTATCATGGACGGGTTCCCCAGTCAAAAATCTATCCCTAAGCATGAAGACATTTTCATATCATTGCCTTTCCTTTGTTTTTTTTTTGTTTTAATTTCTTCATAAATCGCTTTGTTAAATATCGCGCTCCAATGCCAAACTCTTGTGCATGCGTAGTATTCAGCTCTAATTTGGATTTTCACTCTTATCTCACGTTTTTCTTTCAGACTAGTAAATCTCTCTTGTTTTCATCTTCTGCTAAGCAGATAGGTCAAAGACTTCGTAAAACTTCCAAAGTCAGGGGAGACTTTGTTTTGAGAAACCCTAAAAACCGACTCGTGCCAGGCCCTGACCATTCCCTTGCCAGTTTGCGTAGCGCTTTCATGTTTACGGTGGGGTTGCGGTGGTAGGTCGTTATCTCATTGTTAAAATGTGCTTCAAAGCAGTGTCCGGGCAAAACGATATTTGCTCAATTGGGCCTACTCGCTATGCTGAATACGAATTTCACACCGGAGAGCGCGAAAACGGCGAAAAACGGCTCTACACAGGAGGGAATCGGCAGTGGGCGGGCAATTTCCTCGCTTCCGCTAGCCGCTCTCACATCGCCACTGGCCAAGTGCGAACGCCTGACGAAATGGGAATTGGGAAAATCGCTCCTGAACCTGGAAGAGTAACATTACAGAGAGGAAAACCCCCCTTGCCGATTCCCCCTGCGTTCAAGCACTTTTTCGCCGTTTTCACGCTTTTTTTCCATTTTCGAATTCAGCGTAGCGAATAGGCTCAGCTAAGCACAAAGTCTCGAAGTCGACTTCTCGCCCGGAAACTTTCCTCAAATTTTCCAGATGGAGTTTTTTGCCTGCTGTCCAAGAAAAGCCTTCCCATCTCGCTTCTAACGCCTTTACGACACCGCAATTGTGGCTTTGCCACATCCTCACGCTTAACCCTGCGCTTGTCCTGCGCGGTGTCGTGGGCACATATCAATTCGCCACATCGTTTGGGCAGGATTCGTTGTCGCGCGAGATAGGCCCAGGGGTCTTTCATAAGCCCGAAAATCTACCAACGGAAACGTGTATAGTCGAAGTGGCCTTTTCAAATAAGACCTAAACTGCTTTGGAGAGTAATGCACAGCGATTCCGAACCTGCCTTCATTATTTGCCAAGCGCCTCTTGACGCCGAGTCATGGGCGTTTTTCCGGTCGAAAAATTAGGCATTATTGGAGCAAAATCTGCAAATTTGCTCAAAAGTCCGGTGTTGAGTATCAGAGCAGTTCACGCAATGTACATTTTGTTTGGTATGCTAATACTTAAAATCAGCGTCCCACCAGAAGGGGGGGGGGGTACTTGGTATTAATGTAATAGTAGACCCCCTGACCAAGCGACGACAGAGGTTTGCAGCGCGAAAGGAGGTCTACGAAGTCTACAAATCGCCCCCGAAGTGGCCCGAATCTTACGGTAGTCCGAACGCCGCCCACAGATCAATTTCGAACTGCAAGGCCAGAGCACGCATAGCGCACACAATCAGGAGTGCAGGGTCCCACAACGAATCTGCGTCTCTACCTTGCATGCATCTCGTACTCGCCCGAATCTACCGTAAGATTCGGGCCACTTGGGGGCGATTTGTAGACTTCGTAGGTTCCCTTTCGCGCTGCACACTTCTGTCGTCACTTAGTTAGGGGTCTACTATTGCAGTAATAAGAGCCAGGTACCCCCCCAATGTGGTGGGACGCTACCTTTAACATTGCTTTATCTGAGCGCTAGAAAGATTGTAACAATTTTACTAAATTCTGCACTCATTTTTCGTTCCAAAAACGGTCATAACTCGGCGTCCAAATGCGCTTGGCAGATAATGAAGGCAGATTTGGAGCCAACGTGCAATGCTCTTCAAGGTAGTATGGGTCTCATTTAGAAACACCACTTCTAGACACGCTTTCCTTGCGAGCTCGCTAGAACTACTGCTCGGCAACAGCTACGTACTACACTTTGTGAACATGCGCAATCTGCGGCTGATGTGCACTCGAGAGTAGTTTATTGGCGACGTATCGTCCTCTGCCCACGATTAGGGTTAGCCAGCCACAATCTATTCAAAGTTGAATTGCGATCGGTTTTGCCTGTTCAAAAGGATTCAGAAATCAGAGCTGAAGTTTACCGCCTTACCTACGTTCCTGGATGACGCAGAGATTCCAAAAAGGGCATGCTTTCATTCGCGAATGCTTTCAGTATGCGATATGGACTCTTCTTGGTTGTCTTGTATATAAGCTACTAAAGACCGTTCATACACTGCTTTTTGGTGACGACAGCACTTGCGCTTGAGCAGTATTTTGCCGAAGGTTAGCATAGTATTAGGTTGTCCCGAAAGTTCTGTTGTTTCATTTTTAAAAATTTGTAACTTCTTGCTGTTTCAACACATTTTCTGAAACCTTCCTCTTTGTAAGGGTACTCTGAAGAGCTTCAACTATACATTCATTGCAGAGATAAAAATGGAAAAAGAAAACCATTTGAGCTTTGACCATTTTAAGTTAGGTCGCCAAAAGTCTGGAGCGCCGCAGAAAAATCTGAATTTGTTAGTATACAAGTTTTATGACCTACCCTTTGTATCTGAGAAAAAATTGTGTTGTTTGGACGTCTCCGTGAAGAAGTTATAACTTCTGAGTTCACAATAGAAAACGCCGAATTTGACTAATTTGTGGCTTTTTTTGAAAATCATAACTTTTGGTTGAAACGTCCAAACACCACAATTTTTCTCAGATGCAAAGGATAGGACGTAAAACTTATATACTGACAATTTCAGATTTTTCTGCGGCGTTCCAGACTTTTGACGACCTACCTTAAAATGGTCAAAGCTTAAGTGGTCCTTATTTTTTATTTCTATCTCTGCAATGAATGTATAGTTGAAGCTCTCCACGATGCCTTTACAAAGAAGAATACTTCTTCTTTCTAATAAATTTAGAGAGAAGCAAATTCGTTGAGACACCAATAAGTTACAAGTTTTCAAAAATAAAACGACAGAACTTTTGGGACAACCTAATAAAATGAGAAAAAGTGGTGTAAAATGGCCCATTTTTACGCGCAGGTGTTGCTGGCAGCGCAGACTTTATGAACCACTATCTCTACTACCTTGCTGCACAAAGACATTTCTTGAACATAGTTACATGCATCCCTTTCTCTTCCTAACTCCTCTACTCGAGTGTATAAATAGATATGTCATATGTAACTTACAATGAATATTTAGCACACTACGCGGCAACCGATGACACCCTTACTCGATCCTCAATGAAACCTTTTCTAGCGTGGTGAATAAGATTGTATACAACTAGCGAATACATATCTCAAATCGAATAGATAGAGACATAGAAACAATGGTAGTCGAAACAGTTTTAGAAGCCAAAACGTTGAATATGACGCAAGAGTATGATCGAAAGTTTGTTTGGAATTTCTCAATTATCTTGCTCGAGCAAGCTCTGGCAAAGTTCTTTCAAATTTCATCAAGGAACTTTAATGGTTGAGATTACCGTTGCGTACATAAATAATATTCTGACCTTGTGAATGAGAAACGAGCGAACTTACCATTCGCTTCCACTGCATGTGATCCGCCAAAACAAATCACTTCTAGGAAAATAGAATGATTCTACCTCATTGCAGAATGTGCGATTCGAGCAGTAAGCAAGCCAAAATGAATCTGTTATTGAATCGGAAAAGGAAGATTGATGCTGGTGTAGAGCCAGAAATTCAACAGCCATCATCATCACAGGAAATGGGGGAAGACGTTGAGTTTGTGGAAAGCGTTGATAAAAAATCAGAAGAGGAGAGGCGTAAGGTTGATGGGATCTGTTCGGAAAGTGTGAAAGTGTCTTGCAAAGTCAACGTTTTAGGCGGCTGAAGTAATTGTGAAAGAAGCGCGAAGGGCGAAAGAGCGTGCAGAGTTGGTTGGGCCACAAGGATGGTAAGTAGAAACCCCAAAGATCTTGCTGTAGCGACCATCACTTTCCATTCTAGGTTACGACCGAAAAGCCTTAATACGAATAAGCAATTCCTTCACAGAACATTGGCGGCTACTCTTGCAGAAAGAAGACCAAAGCATTCGAAACGAGTAGTTTATAGATCACCGGAGCGAGATTCTAGGAAGTCTGAGACATCGAGAAGCAGGCGCTCATAGGACTGTTCGAATGTTCAAGTAGAAAATACGGGCTTATTTGTGCAATTTTTATTTGTAAACTTCATGTCTGTCTTTCCCTGTGCTCATCATATATACCAGCAATTGTTCTGCATCCCTCTCTTCCACCTGATGTTGAATGTTCTTATAAGGTTCTTGTACTTATTTGAAAAAAAAACCTTTTCAAATGGATCTTAATTTACAAGTCGGAATTCGTGTTTCCAAATCAGTGGAAGAAGTTGAGATATTGGAGTGCACAGTGAAAAATGTCGCGAAATCATTATAAAATTCGCAGTAGCAAACAATAGTTCGAGCTGATAAAACAAGGATGATTTTTCTTACTGTTAGAAGCAGCGACTACCTAAGCAACAGTGGCGGATTGAGCGGGGGGGGGGGGGAGGGTAGAGGATGGCCCTTTCCCTAAAAGTTCACCAAAAGTCATCCCCCCCACCCCCAGCCCTCTAAGGGCCGCATGCACTAACATCCCCGCGGGGAGGGGATCGCCGCTTAGAAGAAAGCTTTCTCTTTCGAAACTCCAGATGCCTGGATTTTACGTTGTGTACCTATCCGTGAGTATTCCTATACCCTTCACTATGAACATGTTGAACAGGAGCGAGAAGCTGTACAAACCGCATTTTCCAGCTTTTGTATGATCCCTGATGATCCCCGGCGCTTTTCTTTGAAGTCATTTTTCTTTCTCCAAAGTTAACGAAAAACCTCCAAAGTTGTGCAGATTGTCTAACCCGACAGTGCTAAAAAGTCATGAAATTTTCGATGATCCACAGGTCGAAATTTGAGGTTTACCGAAAAACTCGACTTTTCAAAAACTCATTTGTTCTCATCAGCAACATGCTTAGCATTGTTGTAGATGTTCAGTACTACAACTTTGGAAGGTTTTCGTTAACTTCGGAGAAAAAAATGACTTTAAAGAAAAGCGCCGGGGATCATCAGGGGTCATGCAAAAGCTGGAAAATGCGGTTCGTACAGCTTCTCGCTCCTCTTCAACATGATAGTGAAGGGTAGTAGGAATAGTCACGGATAGGTCACCTATGCCTCTCTTTTTACATGTACTTTGGTGCAGATACTCCTAATTTTAGATGTCCGAAGATACGCAGATTAGTACCTTTGCAGACTTTCATTTGGGTATTTGCTTTGATCTTTAGAATTTCGTTTCCCTTGAGTAGGTCGCTACTGTAATCGATTTTACACTGCACATTGTAGAAGCAACAATTACATGGTTCTAATCTGGCAGATCGAGGATAAAATATGTGGAGATGTTGACACGGTTTTGTCGCAAATATAAGAATAACTTAAAGCCATCTGTTATCAGACCTGATTTTTACTGATTCGCTTTCATTTATCTGCAATTGATAACAAGAAGATTTTACCTGATTAATGCACTTTAGAGTCAAATAATCGACCTTAACGATCAATTACATCTATAGTATCAATTTGTCTAACCATTTTAGTCCTTTAGGCGCTTTTCATAGCAATAGCCGTAGCCGATCGACTGTTACGATCTGACAAAGCCGTAGCCGTTAGGGACCACTAAGATATCACACAAAAAGATGAAAAGAGCTGTTTACATGACATGCCCATTTATAAACAGTCTGTAGTAAAAGGTCTCATTCCCGACGCGGATGGCAAGGCAGCATTGAAGGCAGTGCCCTCGTACTTGTCCTTGTACTAGGTTTACGGCTTGTAAGTTGAAATCGTTCCTATACGGAACGGATCTGCGTGGGAATAAACTTACCGGCCCATGCACCATCCGTGTGCCGCTTCAAGGTCCTGGCTAGGCCCTCAAAATCAATTTCCACTTGCGATCCGCATGTAGAGTCCTGGAGCTGCCTTCCATTCGTTTGCTTGGAAGCCTTTACGGCAAGGTTAGCAGGATACCTAATTACAAAAAGGCGAAGTGGCGTTTGCTCGTGCCCTACTCATATCTAAAGGGCCTTCCCTCGCCCAGGAACTTTCTTGCATGCAGGTCTAAAAATAAGTGGGTGAAGGACTATATATCGCCGAGGAGGTGGTCAACGGCGGACATAAGCCTGCAGCTCAACATATTAGGTTGGTTCATAATTAATGCACGTTTTGATTTTCAACCGCAATAAGTCATACACTTTTCATTCTTATGTAGGCTTCAAGGTACCATTGGATAGAGCAAAGCAAGCTCTACAAGATGGCACTCATGTCTTTGCGCCATGCTCGATCCACGGAGAGTTCGAACTCAAAATCGAAAGATTTCCAAATGCCTAAAAAATCGAAAAAAATCAGATCTTCGTCCAAATAATTTCTACGGACCTCCTACTCGCTCACATCAATACTATCGATATCTGATATCCATATGTGCGATTGCCGTATTTTTCCCTTGACTAGAAATTGAGATAACGAAAATTTCCCTGATTTTCTCAAAGCACATGCTGAGCGTTTTTGCATATGCAGTTCTATACTACAAGCCTAGGTAAGATAAGTGTAGATTTTCAGCCCATTCCAAACGGTAGTTTTCGAGATATAACGAGATTTTTCCGTTTCAGTTTCAGTGCTAAAATCGACATTTCTCGAAAAGTACCGTTCGAAATAGGCTGAAAACCTACAGTTATGCTTACCTAGGCTTGTAGTATAGAACTGCATATGCAAAAACGGCTCAGCATTGCTTTGAGAAAATCAGGGAAATTTTCGTTTTCTCAATTTCTAGTCAAAGAAAAGATACGGCAATCACTCATATGAATATCAGATATCGATAGTATTGATGTGAGCGAGTGGGAGGTCCGTAGAAATTATTTGGACGAAGATCTGATTTTTTTCGATTTTTGGGTATTTGGAAACCTTTAGATTTTGAGTTCGAACTCTCCGTGGATCGAGCATGGCGCAAAGACATGAGTGCCATCTTGTAGAGCTTGCTTTGCTCTATCCAATGGTACCTTGAAGCCTACATAAGAATGAAAAGTGTATGACTTATTGCGGTTGAAAATCAAAACGTGCATTAATTATGAACCAACCTAATATTTACAGGCAATACAGATTTGTACTAGCTGTTCGCGCCGGGTGGAGCCTATCGGCGACGTATGGTCCTCTACTGGCACTAAGTCATTAACTCCACTCTGGAAGATGAAAAGCTGTTTGCGGAAACCGTTGAAATGATATATCCGTGTTTGAGAGACCACTATGATCAATGCACTTAATAAAAGTGTCACATGTAAAGATGCAGAATTAGCATTTCAGCATAAATGCATGTCCTATTTTTTATGCTCACATGGTTCTGAAGATTGCATCCATTGATGGACATAGAATATTCATTCCGTCATTGTTCTTCTTACACATCAAAAACACTGAAAAGATTGCTGTAAGCTAGCGCTATTATAATGCATTAAGCTAGCGCTAATATAATGAAGTGCGCTTTACTCTGCTTCTAAGTGGAATTGAGTATAAAGCGAACAATCGCAGGCCTTTTCAGGCATTAGAAGAAGACCATAGAATCTGTGAGGTTTGTTATTTCTATCATTTTATGACGAAGTGATTCCAGGGAGCATAAGTCGCTGTCACAGCTCAGCCAGCTTGTAGGCTTTCTTATGATAATTTTTCTGTTGTTGTTGATTTTGGAGCATGTGATTTCAGATAACCAAGAACATCAGAGAACAATGCTTGCTTGGGAATTTTTTGTTATGGTGAGTTCATATCACTGATTATCGGTGATTATGGAAGTGAGCGTAGCAGTTTTTTTCAGGTTGGGCTGGCTGCTGTAACAAGTGCCATTCCATACTTACTTCCTCCTTCTCAGTGGGGAGGTGCCAAATTCCACTAACAAGCCAAATTTTTTATTCTAAATACCCCAATGAGTTCAATCATTGATTTGGAAAAAGTCGTCATTGTTATTGACCTTTGAGCCGTGCATGATGAAAATAAATATACACATCGCTAGACTTACAACAGATTAATGAAGATTGTTGTCAAACATCAAGAATTTCATGGACCATATTACGTGTGAAAGCAGGAACATATCATCAACTCTTCACACTAACTCAGAAATGGTGTTATTTGTCAGATGAAACACAGCAAGTTAGAATGAAACTGAACGGATTATATCTCCACCATTTGAACAAATTTTGCTGTCAAGTGCAAAATCTGAAATCGGACACCACTAAAAGTGCAAGTGCATGCGCCACCTTAGCACTAGATGAAAGTGATTCTCAGATCCTCGCAACTATTTGATATTTGCTTGCGACCGCTGGTAGCGACCGTTCAGGTAAGAAAATAATTCGCAATCAATTCGCATTTATTGTCAAACCATTTTATCGGAGAAACTAGGTATCAAATCTTGTGCTATACAGTGGAGAAGGTAAGCGTGCATAGATATTTATCTCAAAATCTGCAAATTTGCCTCAAACGCTTACTGAGAATGTTCCATGAGTTCGTGATGGCGCGTTAATTAAAAATAGGGTGTAAATAACTCTCAAGATCCAGACTGATATCGAAGAGGAAGAAGTGATTAGCAAACTAATCGCAATATGGTTGCGATTTGCTAATATGTTAGCAGCATAATCCCTCATGATCAGCATTATTTGGCACACCTTTTAGCTTATATTGCTATCCCTTCGGTCAGTGAATTCAGATTTGCATGCCCTTCCTCATCACAAAATTTGATTTTTGTAGCTTGCACTATCTGCGGCTCATCTAAGCGAATTTTTAAGCAGCTTCATGATCCAATTTGATCTAAATCTCTTTATTTGATACAATAAAATGCGAGATACGTTTGGAAGGAGTAGCAAAGAACAAGTTGAAACTAAAGTACTTCTACTCGAATGTTTTCATAGAATGAGAAAGAGAACCGTGGTGGAGAAAAAAATGATTATTTGGTATAACTTGTATGATTGAGGATTGAAAATACCTACCAAGCCAATGCCCAAGTCATGGCTCAAAATGTCGCTCCGGAAGAAAATCGCTCTGGAATAACGAAGAGGCATGAGACCCCTAGGAGGCGCCCCCCCCCCTCCAGTATCGCCCGCTGCGCATCTAACTGATCACCATTCCCGAGGACCGGCTGGCAGGTTCTCCGGAATGGCTGGCTTGAACTTTGATTTACATTAAGGAGCAAATCACCTATCTGTTTTCGTTACAGTAGATTTATGGTAAAAAGGTATAGAGAGGGTTTTGAGCCATCGAGAACCCTACCATTTTGC